TCACCCCCAAAGTCCCAAACAACTCTGAAAGGTCCTCAGCATTGCCTGCAACACGGCTAGATCCAACTCCCTATCTCTCTACCTCAACAGCAGCCTCTTGGAAGACAAATGTATGTGTAATTTCTTCTTCTAGCCCGACATCCACCTCTTCGATGTTAGCTTCGGCTGCAAGTGTAAAGCAACCAAGGAAATGATTAGAAGAAGACAGATTCATAAAATAACATAAAATACAAGTCAAGAAGATAAAGATACCTATTAGAATAAGCTGGTTCTTCTGGTAAACCATCTCTTTCCAATTCTCGAGCTTGCCCGAGTTAGGATAGGACTTGATTGAAAGTTGACTGAAAAGGCAGTCATAAGACTCCTTGAGATCCCCTACGTACTTCTTAGCCCACTTGGTCTCCCACCAAGTAGAGAACCTTGAAGCACATTCGAAGTTAAGGGCCATAGGCTTTCGGGCAATCTTGCTCATAACTTCAAGGCTACGTTGGGCAGCCCGAAAAGTGGCTTATTGTGGTGAACGAAGACGATAAAAGATACCGTAATGAACGGAGTTGAAGAAGAGCACCGGGATGGCTATCTAAACCCCAACTGTTTAGCACAGAAGTTAGGGTGGCAAACCTCCGACCCGCTCTTGTAATGATCACTGTGGACTTCCCATGCCAAATCCCTTGACTGGATGCAACTGATAAATTTATCCCTGCAAAAAGGGCTGGCATCTTCTCAAAAGGCATCTTGGAAGGCTTGGTCAAAGAACCAAGGATATCTTCTTAGTACTAAAGCTCCTCATTCCAAGTCTGCCCGAGTCATGCAGACTCTGAAAAAGTAGAGGCAAGAGAATGTGGAGTGATTAGTGGGTGAAGCCTCGACTAGAATACGGGTAGGAGCTACTCTTTCAAGAAACTCGAGGTTGGGTGCCCGAAGCTCGGGGAAGTACCACTACAACCATAACTGGACCATCCAGGTTGGCCCGTTAAGGTTGGTCTCAAAATGAGCGTCTTGGGTCATCTCATAAAAAAGATGATAAATATGAGCGAGGAAGAAAGGCCCCATGGCCATATCATCAAAGTTATGCAGAACCTCCACTAAAGGGATCCATTCAACCTTTACTCCCTTATACTTGTTGGGGAAGATGTGCTTGTTAAGCCAGTACAATAAGAAGTACATATGTTTTTTGTCTCTGTTGGCATTAAAGGATGAAGGCCCAAAATTCTTCTTAACAACCGAGTAAAACCCCTAAAGGAGGTCCCATAACTCTTGAAAGTAGAAGAGTTGTAGTCCAGATGAGTTATAGGATCAGAGATGCCTGAGCTCTCAACAGTTGGGCAAGAAGAAAGAGACTAGTCGTGGGTGACGTCCACGACTATACCCAATGGCCTTAGCCCGAAGACTTGAGCCATGTCAAGAATGGTCAAGAACATAGGACCCATCCTGAAATCAAAGGTGTTTGTCCCCGAATTGCAGAAAATAAGGGCCATGGTTAGCAGCTCAGGCTTGGCAATCACGGTGGTCTTGGAAAGCATGATTAGCTCATATATGCCGTTGTTCATCCATTTTACTTCTACTTGAAAGTAAGCTCGAGCTCGGTTATCCACTGTGTCCAACCTTCGTCCTTCATTAAAAGAAAACCTCGATGGTGGTTCGACCACTTGGAGGTTCAAATGCCCGACTCGGTCAAGTATGGGTTGGGGGTGAACCAATTTGTCTTAGGCATGTTGCTTTCTACTGCAATTGGGACCTGAGAGGTCCATGCAAGCCCTAGGGAGTGCACTCCTCCCTCTTCGAAGAAAAGTGAAGTTTATAGGCCTGCTCGAGGGAGATGAAGGTTGTTGAGCAAACGGCGCATGGTGGCGATGCCCTCACCTGATTCACAGGGAGATGGAGTAGTTTTGGGGGCCATTGGTTAATTTCAAAGAGAATAGGAAAGAATTTAAGTCGGGAAGTAAGAAAGAGTCGAGAACAATAGAGAATTCTAGGAAATTCTAAAAAATCTGGGGATTCTGGAAATTTGAAGATTTGGAATTGCTAAGGTATTTGGCCAAGGGGTTTAACTGAAGATTATATAGTAATGCAGTTACTTAACGTTGGAATTCGTAGGTTAGTGCAAAGGTTTTGTTAAACAAACAATTGTGTTGAATGGTGCAAGTCTTGAGTAAAGGCATACGGTGGCTGTTTAATCATCATTAACTCCTCGATTTGCAAACTCAACAATGATTAAATGGGGCACTATTTGGGTTAATATTTGAATATTGGGCTTTAATGAAGGAAAACCCAAAGATGCCAACTAAAATGAGACTTGTTGAAGCCCAGCATCGAGCCCAGAAGCAAATTGAAGCGTTCTCAACCAAGATACAGGTCACGTGTCTATAATTGAAATGACAAGTGATGGAAACTAACCTACTATCAGCCAAAGAACACTTTCTAGCGGCATTGCTAGTAAAAAGTTGGTGACTCACTGCCCTCCAAGTGCTTTCGGGTAAGAGCAAAAGCTACAGCAGTCGGACCAAATTGTCTATAAAAGGGAAGACAGACTCCAGAGACAAAGACACTCAACCAATCAAACAAACATACAAACTCTGCTTTCAAGCCAGATTTGCATTCAAAAGCTGAAATCAACCCAAATTTCGTCCTTTTAGCAATAGTTTCCTTAGAAAAGTTATCTTTTCTCTAGTATAAAAGCTCTGCTACCTCCCTCAGTGTTGTATTATCGATTCCCTCGTGTAAACTTGTTTACCATCCATCCCTTTTTAGCATACAATCCCTGTAAATTCAAAGATAAGTGATAGCAAGAAGTTCAACCTTGCCAGACAAGGTGAAATCTTACCCGAAGCTCTTTGTTTGTTTTCTAAATTAGTAGATCTATTGCTTAATACATTCTCCAGCATGTATTCAAGTTATTTCCACCTGTTTTTCTATTTAAAGAGTTTCATTTACATCTGGATCTGGTTAGCTTAATGGATATGTTTTTATTAAAGATCAATTTAAGATCAAACAAATAACGTAAGGGGCTCTGGACTCCCTTCATTCAAACATACAAAACCATGAACTAAAAGTCCTTATTTATAAGGCAAGAAAAAAAAACTTAATATAGACTTAACTCATCTGTGACAATCCTTTGGTAACAAGAAGTTTGAGTAACTTGGGGCGCAAGTAATCAACTTAAAACACACTTGTTCAACATCTGCTATACTAAGATAGCAGTGCCACATCTAAGCATTTAGTTAGTTTTGATCACGAGCCTCAAAACCTACACCTAAGGCCTCACAAAGGCACCTTTTAGAACTAAATTTAAGCTCTTATTGCAACAAACCAGGCAAGCAAGAGCCCGACCACCAAACATATACATCCAAAGTGCCAATCCCTTGGGGAGCTATGTTGAGGTCCAAGGAGCCTTCTCCAAAGAGATCTTTGCTCGAACAACAATAGTCTTAGAATTCATACAACCAATCTCACTTAGTGAAGTAAAGCTTGATTGTTGTTGTTATTGTTGTAGACCACATTCAATTTTGCTGAGCGTTATCAGCTAGAGATGGATATACTTACGTACCACCTAGTTAGGCGATAAAAGCATTCAAGAAATTTATAATGTAATGACTGTCTTATGGGACGAGCCATTATTGGCATAACCTGAAGAACTTGGCTCTATTAATTGCTAAGTATTGTACGTATAGAGAAAGAGACTAGTGAAGTTTTTTATGGCTTTTCGGGATGATTTTGAATCGCTTCGTAATTTTATTCTGCATCGCATTCCACTTTCTTCTGTTGGTTTTGTGCTTCATGAGTTACAAGCTAAAGAAGTTCATTTGCAGGCACATGCTGGAACTACAATGTTGAAGAAAGGGATTCTCTTATAAATTTCTGGTTGGAAAACAAGTTTTGTTACTGGGCTTAGAAGAAAACTTAGGAAACACATTCAATTGACTGAAAATACTTGAACCGCCAAAAAAATGAGTTTATGCACTTATAAGTTGGCCTTCTAGGATCAATCTTGAAAGGCCAAGTCCTCTACCAACCAAACTACTAATTCTCATTTCTTTGACCGATAGGAACCTCTTTATGTGATATTGCACTAGAAAAATAAAATATCTCTTATAGGATGGGTAGCATACATAGGAGAGAAAATGTGGGTAGCAAAAACACGTTTATCTTTTATGCCTTCTTCAAATATCATGTTTACAAAAAATCACTCAAATTCAAAATCATGTGATCGTTGAATTAAATGATAATCATTTTAGTGTTTCTTTCGAAACCCGTATTCTTTCATTTTCTTCACTAAAGATGAATTTCTTAATAATTTTGAATTTGTCTAATTTTTTACGGAGATAATCTATGAATGATGAATTGAAATATATACGGTTTAAATTCTTAAAAAGAAGTACAGAACGAGGCCCTAAAAAATATGATTGATATATATATATATATATATTGGGGAATTTACATTTTGGTATTGTGTTTTTGCTCTTTTGAACATGCGTGTATTCCTACTTTCATTTCATCAATCAGGTGCAGTCATTAGTTCGCCGGTCAATAAGGAGATACTTCTTAACGAGGTACACGCTGGAGGATTTTTTTAGCGTGCTGAGAACACGTCCCGAAAAATCAAGTATCATAATGCAATTAGTTGAAATTTTTTTTTTATTTCAAGTATCCAACCAATTTTATTATCACTTGATGTATGGAATCATATTCTCAGCACATTGAAAAAATCTCCCTAAACGCACGGCTCCCCTCCTTATTTTATCTTTTTCCCTTTGATCTCCCGCCCAAACTCATTTGCCACACCGCACAGAGCCCATTTTATGACGAGTTTGGACAGGCGAAATAACAAGGTCATGGAATTTTGACTGTCATAAGTCATAAAAGTAAAATTTTAAACAAAAAAAATTGAGTCTCCAGTTTTGTGTGTAGAAAGTAGAAACTGAAGAAAGATATACAAATTAACCAGAGTTATAAGAGATTCAGAAATCACCTGTGTGGGTGGGTGTGTGGAGAGAGAGAGAGATGTGCTCATCTCTTTCAAGTGCTTGAAAGAGATGAGGCAAAATCTTATTCTCAAATCACTCAAATAACAGCAGCATGCATTGTCTTCTTTCACATGTTTTTGGCAACTACAGAAATTACAATTTCAAGTTTTATCCATGAAAATAACTCACCAGTACGAAAGCCATCTTGTCATTGCAAAAGTATGACCCCGAAAAACAATAACAAGATTTGATACAAAATCAATAGCACAGGCAGGTCAAGACATATGAAGGCTATATACAGGCCTTAACCTCCACCCAGTATGACTGCTATAAACTCCGCTTCTCAGCTTCCGAGTCTCTGACTAATATCAGCTTCATACGACTACAACTTGGATCCTCTGTGAACCTTATTTTGCGGAAGCTAGCTGGGAAAATCTTTGCCTGTTAAAATAAAACAAATTAACCCCAACTGATAAATTTGTGAATAAGACACGCAATAAGAAAACACTGTATACCAGGCAGCTGAGCAAAGAGTTCTGGTTCGAGCACTTTAGCTAATAAAGGGTTATACAATACTACAAGTAAAGATATATCAGGAACCTCATCAAACTCATTGTTGTGCGCGTCCTTTTCCTGTAGTCTGTTTCCTCTTCTTCAGCTGCTTGTTCTGATCTACTTGTACAAAGCCATGCCTCTGCTTCCCAACTTTTAAGTCTTTCCCGCTAATCATGTACTCATTGCCATCTTCTGGCAAGCTAAACTCAGCTGGGTTTTTGTTTATAGTGCAGATTAAAGAATTGGGACTGCTCCTTGGAGGCCTCATGGCCCCATTAGCATTATGAGTATCTAATTTCTGCAGCATAGGATATTCAGTGTTGTGGTGGTGCTGGGGAAACATCGTAGAATCAGCCAGTGTAGCGAGTCCTTTGTGCATAACAGGGATAGTTCCATGATTTTTGCCCAAAACACCACCTTTAAATGCAGAATTCTGGGATCTGGAGCCTCTATTCTCTACGGCAGCCCTTTTGAATCCTTTAGGATAGGAAGAGGTAGATGTACCACCAGGATTCATAGGAAAAAGGTCAAGAGACTTCTCAGAAATGTGATTTTTGCCGCAACAACTGGATGATGGATGCTTCATAGTATCGGTAACCTTATAACCACCAGCATCCACCGCAGAATACTCCTTCGAGTAAAAATCAATGGGTCTCTTGGGAAATTTCGGGTTTCCAGCAATGCTGAAGGGCGGACTTGACCGCATACCTGCATCCATGAGGCTGAGCAAATGCATTGCTGGTATGGTTTCATTGGAATATAGATCAAAAGAACCCGCTGAACTCTTAGGAGGCTCAGTCCCGTTACGTTTGCCAGTGAATGAGTACTCTGCATTTGTTCTGCTGAAAGGTTCAGAACCAACACCTTCAATATGCTTTTCCGGGTTGGTAGCATTTAAATTAAATAATTTCAGGCCATAATCACCATGGAAATTTCCCTTATGCAGCGAGCCTGGAGGGTGTGAAAGCATATCGACATTAGAAGGCTGAGCTGCACACTTTTGAGGATTGTAATGCATTAAGGGAGTTTGAGCTGGCATTGCAGGTGACCATAAGCGAGCTGCTTCTTCCTTTGATTGTGGAACAGACGGACGCAAGCTAGAATTTGACAACCCATGGCTCATCATATCTCCATTCCATTTGCAATTTTGAGCACAACTACAGCTGCTGTAACCAGCAGTAGGAAATTGCTCTCGAGTACTCATCTTCTTTTTAGGCTGACTGAATGCATTAAACCCTGTAGGGCAATGCATTTGATCAAGACGAAATGTGTCTTTTTCGGGGATATAAGTAGAAAGGTCAACTAACTTCTGTTTGGAAGGTCCCACATTTTTTCTTGCTGTTGCACCATCTTTTGCCTTTCTTGCCTGAGGTTTTCGTTTCTGACCTGTTTCCTCTAATATTCTTAAGTTTCCAAAGCCATAACTATGATCTGCTTCCAAAACTTTCTGATTTCTCTCATAATGATTTTTTGCCATGAATTCAACAATTTCCATCGGTATGTCATCTGCAGCTCCTTTATGAGACGTCTTTTCAGCTCTATGGTTGCTATCTTTCCTACTAACAGGCACAGCTGAATTTTTCGGAACCTCAATGATTTTCTCCTTGTTTCTTGCACGAGAAATATCCTGAAAAGGAAAATGAATCATCATAGAAAGAAATTGCAAAACAAAACTAGAACCAGAGAAGATAATTATGCATATTAGTGTTTACAAATTTACTACAGATATGAGAAATGTGCAACATGATTCTAAGGACTAGCTAATATGCACAGTATCAACATCGGCAACGGAAATACAAGGATAATGGACTGGCTTCTTTATTTCTTTGAACTTGAGCAATGCTGCTAATTTTAGCATATCAGCATAGGCAACGGAAATAGGAAAACAAATTATTTAGACATAACACCAATCAGCAGTGTTCAAAAAAAAAAAAAAACTCACTAGTTTCCACTACTTAACTGTGTCAGTAATAATTTGAGACAGATGAGTGATTTATGATATCACAACAATTTTATAACCGCACAGTTGCATATAATAAGCCTTAGAAACAGAAGAAACATGCATTTGCTGCGGACATATATCATGCAGCCATCAAGATGAAGACGTTCATCCAGGGAATAGTAAAAAGAGAGTAAGCTCTTACCATTTGCTGCAACAAACTCCCTTCAACCTGGGAGCGATAGTTTTGCTTCTCATTCGGGATAGGCATGCTGTAGGTGAAAAATTTACTACTGCGATCATCATGCCCTATTTTCCCAGAAAATGCATCTGAAACAGGTTTAGGAAGTCTGTTCAGATTTGCGTTGGCTTCCGCATTTTTCCTAATAAACTCATCTAGTTTGCCGGTGCCATCTTTCCGAGTTGACCAGGAAGGAAATCCATCTTCGGATTGAGGAATAAATTTCCTGTCATCTCTTTGAGCAGACAAATAGCTGTTAAGAGAAAGATTCAACCCTTTTTCAGCGGGTGAGTCCTCTGCCCGATGAAATGGATGCCCAGTTTGCATGAATTCTGCATCTTCCTTGTATTTGGGCCTTTCGTGAGCCAAGGAAATAGAGAAGCCAGTCCAGTATCAACTTCTGGCATCTTGTCTTTCCGCTTACAGGAACCAGACTTTCTACCTGCTTTTGGGGCAGGCAAAGCAATTTGATCTATCTCTCTAACTGTGGATGCATCATACGCAGGAATAGAAGAAGCTATTGTAGTAGCATTACCTTTACTTGAACTTCCAACTTTGTCTAGCGCTTCTATTGGCACAATATCTTTGGGTGGGACTAAGGATGAACATACACCAATATCATTGGATTTCATAATTTTCTTCTTACCAACAGCCGGGATTCGTTCAATTTCAGATCTATTCCAGTTGCTCCTCATATCTGCCTGCAAAGATATTCTGGCAACTGCATCTTCTTCTAATTCAGAATCCTCAACGCGTCTGGTGGTTTCTTCATCTCGCTTGGAAGTCTTAACTTTTCTATTCAAACTTTTTGGAAGGCTCGTCCCTTGGCTTCTCTGTTCCTCTTCCTCAGGCAATTTCCTTTTGTTATTCTCACAAGATCCACTATAGCACTTTCTTGGACAGACACCTGGCCTTGGGAAACAGTTCCTGCCCCAGATGTATTACTAATTCTGTTGGATGGAGAATCTTCCGTCCTGAAGAAATCAGGCTTTGCATCACCCAACTCACTCAGCAGACGCACACGCACCTTCCTACCTTTCTTACGATTCAAACTACTTGACTTATCAAGATTTTCAGAAGATGCAGAATCACACTCATGCAGAGGATGATTAATGTTGGTCTGGCCTTTGGTAGCATCACCTGCCCTGTCAACAGTTCCGACTATCTTACATGTCCCAGAGGCATTCATTGACTCCTTGTGATTTTCTTCTGCAGAAGGTCGGCGCTCGGCTTCACTAGTCTGGGTGAGGTTCTTATTCCAGAATAATTTGTTGTTTGAGAAATGGAGCTTAATGTTGGTATCATCACGACTTTCACATCCTGATTTCCAGATTTCAACAGATCCATTGCCCTCCAAATTTACTGCTTCTGCTTCAGAAATCAAAGACATTATGATTGTGAGATACCATATGGAGTAAGTTGTAATGTAATTTTGTTTTTTTTTTCTTAACAAAGTAAATTTACCTGTGGAAATTACAGGTAAACTTTTTCAATCACAGATTCTTATTTTATAATTTTAACAAAGGGAAAGAAAAACTGTTTTACCTTTATGTCTCTCCTGCGTCCTTTTTGGGTCAACTTCTGCCTCAACAGAATTGAGTCTCGGCATTTCATGACTCGCATAATCATCTAAGACATTCTTATTCACTGGATGAAGCACAAAAAGTAAATTAATCAAAAGACAATAACATGCCCAACAGTCTATTTAGTTGAATTGAGCTTGACTTTAAGTATACCTGTGATGGCAGTGGGTGCAACTTCATGCCTCCCTTCTTTCTTATCAAAGGGAGATGACGAAGGATGTTGCTTATTGCCAATTCCATCAACAGAAACATAAACTTCAACTCTTTTTCCATCAACAGTTTTTGAAATTGAACCTTGTTCAGAATCTAACAGAAGCAGTGGAGCATCACTGTGGTGTGGGACCTGAGCACACTTGTTATTGGAATCAGATCCAATACGAATGTCTGTACCATGATCTCTTGCAATACTCTCAGAACCAGTTTCCAGCACGCAATTCTGGCAAGACCACCTTCTGAATTTTGGAGGATCCAAAGGAGGAAGCAAGGATGTTGGCTCCTGATCAAACTTGTCCAACTCACCATCCAGAGGAAATGGACAACAAAGCTTCCAATTCTTTTTGCGAACTTCAGCTACATAACCACTACATCCAAAACATAAAACAGAAGTTTCAATAAAAAAAAAAGATCCATGTGTGAAGTAGAAGTCAATTATTTACTACATACAATTTACTCTTGAAAAATAATGCTCTACACACACACACACACACACATACATCCTCCCCATTGTTTATGTACTTATGTCTTTTCAGACACTATCTTGTTATATTAGCAACACGCATACTAGCTAGGTAGTATGCCATATGATTGCTGATGAAAACCTTTGCTGCATCAAAGAGTCCAATCCCAACAAGTGTGATATTACAGTGAACTAAAAAGTAAAGAGGATATACTTCTCTAATCATATATAATATACTGCTGCAAAATAGCATAATATATTACCTTTAAAATTGGAGGAAACTAATTAAACAACATCAATCTATATCCAAATTAGAGCTTGAAAATTGAGCCAAAAGAAATGACAGCTTATGAAGAAATATAAATCAGTTAATATCATTAGCAAAAGATTCACATTAGTTTATTATGAACAAGTGAGTAATTAACAGCACATAGACATTGAGAAGGATAGGTGATTTCCCAGAAGGGGGTACCAACTAGCAAGGCTCCAAGGCTTACCGTATACTGAAATGCTCGCAGTTTCCCACATGGCTGCTACCCTTGTCATTAGCATCAGGAAGATCTATAGATATTGAATCAATTTTAACAAATGATCCCACCATCTTGGAAGCAATAATAGGACCATTCCTCTTATGATTATTGTCGATCAGAAGACCCTTCTCCATGTTATAGCATCTATCCAGATCAGTGTTCTTAATATAGTACTTCCTATATTCAAACAAATGAAACAATTAATTGAGTGATATCATTATCGTATGATAATTAGAATAGCAAAGAAAGCACCATGGAGGGAGAAAAACCGAGGAAAGTGTAAAGAAAGCATTGATCTATACCATGCGAGAGAAAATCTTTGTTCAAGTAAAATAAAAAATTATTAGGGTTATACTCAACCGCCAACAATTCTCATCCGCAACGAATTATTCAGTGTCAAAATTATCATAGAAATAAATGACAAGGTATAACAACTCATCCTACACTGACATTGCACATAAAATAACAACCTCCATTGATGTACAAGCATAGATATATACATGTACAGCAACCCAATGGAAGAAATTACAAACCCTAGCATTCCATGAATCAATATAAACAAGGATGGCAGCTAAATGTATTACGATCGATGAAATTATTCGCACACCTAAACTCACCATTAAAGATGCAAACTCAACCACAAAAATAGGAACAATAAAGCTAAACCACATATTAGGGTTTTGTTTCAATTAGAGCAATCTAGGTCGAATGAATATTCCAAGATAAGCTACAATCGTACAAACCCATTTCAGGCTCGCCCTCGGAGACTCCAAATTGGAAAATAAATGCATGCCAATCAACCAACTTAACAGAAAAAAAAAATTAGGGTTCTTTCATTGTATACCTTGTATAAATTCACAGTCACTAGACAATTAACTGAGTCCAAGCACATCAAAACGACATGAATAACACCTTAAACGCATAAAATTGTTTATACCGAGCATAACAGCGAACCCCAGGTAATGAAATGGAAAGTAAAGCCCAAAACTTGACGTACTATACACAGTAAAACCCAGCTCAAAAAAATATTTTTTAAAAAATATAAAAATTAATAAGCAGCTGAAAAAATCAGCTCAAAGCTTCAAACTTTATACTAATTAAATCCAAAAAATCATCGATTTCAAAAACCCAATTGAACAAAAGAGTAAATCGAGCAGATGAAAAAAAAGACCTGAAACCTCAAGGCAAATCGACAACCACCGGAAACGACGTCGTAAGAAGCTCAGCTCCCGATTCTCCACGGCGCGTCCGGAAAATGACACTGGCGGATAGAGCGGTAGAGGGGGAAGATCGGGAGGCGATTTTTCAGCTGAGATGCGAAGCTGGGTGAGTGGAATTTGAGTGCGAACAATCGTAAAACCCTAGAGAGAGAAAAAGTAGAGAGGAGGTTTCGAAAATGTAGATAGAGAGAGAGAGAGAGAGAGAGAGTGAGGGTAGGAGGAGAGAGAGAGAGAGAGAGAGAGAGAGCGAGAGAGAGGGTTTTATTCTTTCTTTTGTCGTCGAATGTACTTAAAAAAACATCACCATACATATTACATGTCATGTCCAAACACATACATTTTGTACGATAAATTACTTCCAGATACGGTGCTGGAGCAATCCCGTTCCGCCACGTGGCGCAGTGTGCGTCACTTATCCCTTCGACAAGGGAAAAGGAAACCCTAGCGGAGGTAAAAAAAGCTACTGTTCCCCTCGCGTGTTATGTACGCTCTGGTTCAGGTGAGGGGGTGGATAGTTTATTTATACCTGTCGTGTCAAGGAGGGCCAAAGATGCCATTGCACATAAGTGGATTCTGATCGGTTCGTGTGGCTCAGGTGAGTCGTTCGAGAGTGTGAGTGCGGTCCAATATGAAACCCTAGGTTTTTCTTGCGGGTAATCAAAGGGCATCTACGTATCTTAACCTAGCAACAATTCGATGATTCACGAAAAGGGGGGAAATAAAAATGGGAAAGAGGGAGATGGGGGAAAATGGTTGGGGTTCGAATTTTTTTTTTGTACTAATATTAATGTGAAATAAATTAGATATTATAAGTGTTATGTTCTGCCGTATTACTCGGGATTACACTAATGAAATGTATTAGTTAAAAAATCTAATTTCGTTATGATATAAATTCTATACAATTAATAATTTTGAATGGGGAACAACAGGTTTTGATGTGTAATGCATGATACATTCGTGTCACATTCTATGGACGGACACAAATTATATTAGCTGGTTGGGCTAATTCAAATTTTACCTTTGTGGAGCTTCATTACATATGCGTCTTAAATTGTTCAAACTTGCAGAATTAGAATTTTACTTTTGCGGGGATTTATTGGATAAGTTATTTAGTGGGTTGGACCTCGAATTTTACTTTTGTGGGGTCAGAGTCTTACTATTTATCCATATTATCTTTGATGAGTTTCATTCAGTGGCAAATTCAGAATTTTTTACTAGAATTTTACTTTTATTGATGATGTTAATTGCAATATATATAAGACCCAAATTTTCAAATACCTTGTAAATCCAAATAAAAACACATATATACACATAAACACTATATGAAATCGATTCATTTTGATTTCTTACCCTTGAGAGAAATGAAGAATTATATATATAGAGAAAAAGTTGTATAGTATTACAAAGACTAATTAAAAACATAGTAGAGTATCAACAAGACTATTAAATATAATGGGCTTTGACATCGGGACCGCCTTGGATTCATGCAGATTATTGAAGTAAAAAGTGATCGGATTCTCTAAAAATAATGGTGATTGCTAGACATGGCAAAAACATTGAATGCATTGCTTACATATTAGAAGGATGTTGATATAAACCTATAACAAAACCAACAGGCTATATGTATCTTTTTGGTTAGGTCGCTGGCCAGGTCCCATATATATATATATGTGCGCGCGCGCGCGTAAGATTATTGGTTAGAGAGGAGTATATTAGCCGATTTAGCTAACTTAATTATTTTAAGTGTGATTTCTATTGGACCAGATTCATTAAGTTAAGAAGGAAGACAAAATTAAGAGGAAGTTTGGAAGGAACATATGGCTGCATGCATGGCAACCTCATTAAGTTAAATGTAGCTAATGTTAACGCTGATTCAAGCCATGCAATTCTATATTAATTTGTATAGCGTCCAAAGGTAAATAATATGGGCTACTCGATGGATCATTTTTTGGCTAGCTAAATACCTCGTAATGTGCAAACTTGAGCCTAGTTAAGCTCACAAAAACAGTGTTTTTCTTGCATCAAGGTTCAAATCTCCTTTTTAATATGAATGTATTGTAAAATATTGCCTTTATACCCTTCGATCTCAAATATAAATAGGTTGCTTTGGCTGCTCGATGGAAAAAAAAAAAAGGTAATTTTCTCCTCATTTTCTTGGCCAAATACACTTTCCAGTATGATTTTATCAATTTGTAATTAATACCAACAGTGACCAGGAAACAAAAAAGAATGAAAAACGGTGATCCTAAAGCACTCGCGCGAATACTCTTCTCATAACAAAAAAGCTATTGTGTACGTATACTCGTCATTTTATAAAGTAATGAAAAACGGTGATCAATTAAGCTAGCCCATTGTTAAATAGAGATATGTATATGTGTGTGTGTATATATATCCATATGTACTGCTACAAAGCTAGGGGGCAATGTAGAGGAATCTATCGGTTCATATACGCATTGAACTTAGCCGTATTTGTAGAGTAGTGCACTGATCAATTGCACTCAAGTTTAAAATCACTTCTCCGTTGTCGTTAAGTTGAAAATACGAATCACATACAAGTAAATGAAAAGTCGAACTAAGATCCGTCTTTAACATTAAATCCAGAAAGTAAGCTCTGTAAAATGTTAATACGGGGAACAGTACACTCCAATAATTGACTGTGATGTGCCATTTCTAGTACCAGCAATAGACACGTTTGGGTTATGCCTAACTATACCTGCATCGATCAATGTTGTCGACCCAAGAAATTAAGATCATGATTCGTACAAAGAAAAGAAAACAAGCATATTCCAGATCTATGAACTTTATTTCTTCTTGTTTATATATGGATATAGTCCGGCCTCTATACTATATATGAAGAGAATAAAAAAACTACAGAATAAGAAACCGATCGAAGGAGAAGTGAAAAAAAATACATATATATATACATGATATGTATATATGTATATGTATGGATGATGTATGTATATAATATATATATATATAGATGAATATATCAGTGATTGAAGGCACTGGACCCATATAGTGATGCGTGTTGAATTGATGGCTAAAATTTGACACAAATTTTAAGAGAGAGTTTTTTTTTTTTATTGCAGGAAATTGTGTAAGTTAATCTGAAGGCTGACAGAGATAACCTCACCCTCTTATTATGGAGATCGGGGCCCTCCCTCTTCAGATTTCCTTGTCATCATGCATATAGATCTAATTAAAAGACCCCATCAAAGAAGTATATATTAACCCAATTAAATAATTAAATTAACAAAGTGCCTTTCACGACCCAAGAACCCTGTCTGCTCCTTCTCAATTTGTTCTTCTTCGGTTTCTTATTCTTTAATTCAGAGAGCGTTTGAACTGCAAACTCGGCAAAAAAAGAAAACCCCAAGCACAGGCAAAAAAAGGAAGAAAAAGTCTGTCATCCACGTACAGACCAAAAAAAGGACTGCAATGACCCAAGTATGAATTAATTTATGTGTAACCAAAAACTGTATATGTTGTGTTTGTAATAATTACAGAACTCAATATGAGTTGTTTGTGTTTATAGTCGCTTTAAGCGAGTTTTTTAATCTTGCTATATGCTACATGTGAGTTTGGTTGTTGTGAGATCAATTTAGTAGGCTAATTTTACACTAGAGTATTGGAAGTGAGCTGGTTGAGTTTGTTGGATCCTTTTTTTTTTTTTTTTAACAAAAAATATTATTTACATTAAGGGGGAGGGGTAGGCTAAGCTTCACAATAGGCTAGCAATAATATGGTTCAAATTCGCCTTTGGCAATAATCGAACCTAAAATCTCTCACTTACAAGTAAAGAGGAATACCACTACCGTAGTACTAAGTGACTGTTGGATCCATTATTAGATGATGCTTTGAGATCATGAGGAAATTTTAGTCTTGATATCTTGCATCTTGTGCCCAAATAGAGCTTGCTCGACTTAATAATAGCTCGACTAGTTTACTAGCTGCAGTTTTTATTTTAATATATAAATTTAGTTAAAATGACATATTTAATAAATTGTTTGGAGAGTTTTCATTTTCACATAATTAATCTTACAACATTGGATGTATTAATTGATTTCTATGGATCTTCCTCCTTTTCAAAGACGTCCAACATTAGTTTATTATCTTGTATTTTTCAAATTTTTTGCTTACAAGTACCCTTCTCTTGGTACATTTTAAAATCTTCGTCTGATTGTATTGTTAAACAAATTTATGGATTTAGATTATTTTCTTCAAAAAAAAAATGTATTTTAGTCTACCCATTAGCAACAAAATTGTTTTTGGATGTCTGCTATGTAGTTCATGTGTCACTGTGCCATTTTTCTTGAGAACCTTGCCAGCTGCTCAGTGGTTTGTGTGAATTAACAGCTACAAATCATACATCTATTTCTTAATGCAAATCATTTTATCTTTGTGAGTCAGGAAAAGGTCCTTAGCAAAGGAATTTGCAGAACAACCATGAATTTTAATCATGCTGCTTTTCTTCTAATTAATTAATTCATTAAATTGTTCATATATATAAGTAAGAAAGGAATTGCTGCGTAATCTTACTCCGGTTTATTCTTTTGGGTCGGAGCAGAACCTAATGATTCGGTTTATAAGAATCAACGTGAATTTAATTAAGAAAATGAACTGATTCTTGCGCACAAATTTAACACTTATATAACAAGTGTTAAAATATTTCTTTCTTTTTTTTTAACTAATTGATACTCCTATTAAATTTCTAATTAGGATACCCAATTAATTTTAAAAGTACTTAATTAATTAGCCATTCTTACGTATATGAGACACAAACAATATAAGTTGCAGAAATTCAACTTGAGTTTTGTAGATAGTGTTTCGTTTAACCAAGTTTCTAGGGTTTTCGATGTATGACCCTTTGTGATTGTGCTAGAGGAAAGACTTTATAATTCTAAATGTTGTTGGTCCTGAATTATAAATAACACCTCCACTTAACAAAAAAAAAAATAACTTAACATGAAATAAATTAGATTTGAATGAAACGAAAGTAAATGCAATAGATAATAAGCCAGATAAATACAACAACAAAAATTTATCTCATTAAGTAATATCGACTTTATAAATCTTATAGCGCCATTACGTTCAATTTTATACCTTATGAATATACAGTTCACCAAAATTTTCTATCAAGGTCATCACTGACCCTAATGTACATGGTCCCCACCGTCAACCTCTGCCTGTACGTTTTGTCACAAGCTGGAGTCAATCAAGTGTTATTTGTAGG